GGTGCTGATGGTGACGTTTGGCCGTCAGTACGGGGGGGGGCGGCGTTGCTCTCTTGCCTAGGGCAGCAGCATTTGTAAATACACCACTGTGTATAGGGATATTTTCAGCAAGTCCGGAAATTACCTATTGATTTTGCCATTCCCGTGTCACTTGCTTGTCCTTGTCACTTCCTGTAAGCTGAAAAGACCGCAAAAGCAATGTTATCTTTCTTGTGTAAACTAATATTCCCATCGACTACCATCTAAAGGGAATGAACAAAAGGCAGACATTTTTGAAGTCTAGCCTGGGTGACAACCATTGCTCCCTCTATAAATACAGTGGAGAAATTAGTGTAGACACAAAGGGACAAGAAGTGTGCTAGTTGCAGCATTGCAAGGTCAAAATAAAGTGAAACAAACCTGAAAAAATGATGTCATCACATCTAAGGACTGGTAAACTGCCGTATATTACATATTTTTTGGGGGGTTTAGATACTTGTTAAAAAGTTTTGTTTTATCTGTGTCTCCTCCTGCAACTTTTAATGCATTGCATTTGTATTGTAGCTTCCTTCTATACTTTGTGTCTCTGTATATATATATATAAATGAGGATGTTTGTTATTATTAATATTTTTTTTTTTTGCTGAGCACAAAAGCTGGTCTCAGCATTGGGTAATATGAACAGTATATTAGAACAGTATTCTACACAGACAGCGCATACGAGCTTATTTGCATCTGAGAGCAAATAAGTAAAAAGTTGCAGGAGGGTATGCACACACCGCATAATATGCATACACATCATAATGTGGAGGATGAAAACTCATTTAGGTGAGTAAATCTGTTTTTAAGGTCTAAAAGTTCTGCCTAGGAGCCGATAGCCGATATCAAGATGCTTAATTACTAGGAAAGCTTATCTTATGTGCCTCTTTCAAACTAGTTTCATTTTTATACTAGGGGCATGACTTACTTTGATTTCACTGGTAAACCCAACAACCACCATTCTTCTGTCCAATGAGAGAACCATTCTAAGCCACAGAGCCTCTCTCATTGAATAGGGCAACGAGATTGCAGGATTTTCAAATATAAAAGTTACGTTATATGGCCAACAGTTTGTGGAACTTATCACACCTATATGAGCTTGTTGGACACCCCATTCCAAAACCGGTTTATGGACACCTATCACACCTATATGAGCTTGTTGGATATCTCATTCCAAAACCGGTTTATGGACACCTAGCACACCTATATGAGCTTGTTGGATATCTCATTCCAAAACCGGTTTATGGACACCTATCACACCTATATGAGCTTGTTGGACATCTCATTCCAAAACCAGTTTATGGACACCTATCACACCTATATGAGCTTGTTGGAGATCTCATTCCAAAACCAGTTTGTGGACACCTATCACACCTATATGAGCTTGTTAGACATCCCGTTCCAAAACCAAGACCATTAATATTGAGTTTCCCCCTTTGCGGCTGTAAGAGCCTCCACCCTTCAAGGAAGGATCATGGAGTTTGTCTATGAAATTTGTTCCTGTGGAGCAAAAAAAGACCTGATTCACAATCAACATAACCTCAACGGTTTTTGGCAGGGTGGAGTTTAGGACTTTGTGAAGGCCACTCGAGTTCCTTCACACCAAACACATCAAACCATGTCTCCATGGAGCTGGCTTTGTACACAGGGACAGTCATGGTGGAACAGAAAAGGACCTACCCCAAACTGTTACCACAAGGTTGAAAGCACAGAATTGTCTAAAGTGTATTTGTATGCTGTAGCAGTAACAGGGCCCTTTACTGGAAACACCTGAACTCAAAAATTTGGAAGGATGTCCACATACTCTTGGCCATATAGTTGATGTGATATTTAGATGTCCAAAAACCTCTGGCCATATAGTATAATTGTGGACACTTTGTGGTGTCTGCTCTTAAGCAGGACCAGGTTTAAAATGGTTGACAGTTTCAGTTTTAAGTGGACCTTTTAGACACGCTGCTACAAAGGATCAAGTTAGACATTTAAAATATTTTAAATGTGCGTTTTAATTGATTTTTTGACGGTGATGTGGAAAGTTTAGTTTTACATTTGCACCTCTAAAAACAATATACTAGGAATGCACCGATACCGGTTTTTCGGTATTGAATACGAGTACCAATATTTT